GTTCTCAGCAAAATATTAACACACTTCAATTACACGTGATCTGATCTGGAGGAACCGCCTAAGGAGGAGTGTAGTCTAGATACCCTTAAGGGGCGTCCCTTTGTTTAGCTTCTGATGCTCAGGCAACGTCTTGTAAAGAACACTACTACAGTAGAATATAACTGATAAAAGATTTTGATATCCAACGATTGGGTAATGTACGCTTGTTATTGTTTATTATTGGTCGGTTTAAGTAGAGCTCAATACATTTACTTTCTGTTAGGGCACTTTTTTTGTCAATATTTCCGATTTTCTTATCCGTTTAGTGCAATGACGAGAGATTGTCGCTTGTTCCGGTTATCAGGTCGCAACACCCATATACCATGAGCGTGTTGACGCTTAGCGAAAGATTGGAATTCGTCATCAATTTCCGAACTATTGCACTTTTTTAAATATAGTCACGCTATGCAGTTTCAAATCATATACACACTCTCCTGGATAGTTTCACAACCGGAAGTTCGATTTTCCTTCATCGAAGTCTGTTTATATTTGGCGATTCATTCACAATTTCACAGTTATTGTAATTTAAGAAAAACGTTATATGATTCTTACATTGTCAGGCTTTGACATGTTCCATTCCGTAAAAACGTATGTGAGAAAGTGTACATTTAGCCCCTATGCAATCCTCTAAAAACTCATCTTAAGTTATTCAATGATTCGAGTGAAATACAGAAAATATTCTTCCCGAGAAGGTTGTATTTCACGATGCGCTAGCAGAGTGAAATACAGACGTTGAAGGGAAGAATATTTTCTGTATTTCACGAAAAATCATTGAATAACGTTTTTATTCCATGATTACCCATATAAAACTTGCCTAAATCAAGTCCCTTGGCTTGGGGCCGGAGAAACAGATCAACCTTCTCACCTCAGAGATATTTTACATCGATATTCTTTCAAAATCTTTGTGGCCTTGTTGTTTGCTTTGTACGAGACATTTGATTTTCTTTCTTTTTTCTTCAATTTCATCAGCTGGAAGTGCAGTGTAGCGAAACGTTTTTCCGACTTTCGTCTGCCATATTGGATTTTAAAGTTTTTTTTACTAGTTCATGAAAACGGTCATCCAACATAATCTTTTGAATTTTTTAGAAAATGGGCCCATTATATTTATCTAACTATATTGGTTCGAATTTTTTGAACTATTTATTTTGAATCTATAGTTGGTTTTAATTTCAGAAATATCGACATTTCGACGTTTTCATTGTAGGAAAATATCGCGTTTCGATCCTGGGAGTCAATCCTCCTTGGATATGGCCTTTACATCCTGGTTATTTTGGTGTAGCAAAGCCGTATGATCATGGTAGACCAAATGACGACATGGTTTATCGGAAATGTCTATAGACTTTACTATGTCCACAAATCAATACTTGGCATAATTGAAATGTCCAATGCATTTCAAATGTCCAATGCATTTCAAATGTCCAATGCATTTCAAATGTCCAATGCATTTCAAATGTCCAATGCATTTCAAATGTCCAATGCATTTCAAATGTCCAATGCATTTCAATTGGGGAAATAAAGCTGTGTTTAACTAAAATATACAAGAGTATCTTTCGTTTTACATTCTTCAATTTAGACAACTAGTATATCATGCATAGACGATGTGGCTTTACTTAATAACGAACCCGCAAGGCAAATTGTAATCAGGCAACCGCGCAAAAAGAGACACCTCTGCGATTTATTGGAATGTATGTAAAGCAGTATATTATCATTTTTCTCAGTTACGATAAATTTAAAAAATATATGATGAATTTTTGAAAAATCGTTTTTTCTAAACAGGCTTAATACGTTTTGGGAGTGATTTAAAAAACAAACCCCACATTTATGGGGGTAATCTATACCTGGTTCTGAGATTTGTTTTCTTAATAGCAAAGGATTATGTTTTTAAATATCACGACAGACTGGCATAAAATGTTAGGTAGGTTGTTCTCAGGGGCGTAGGAAGGTGTAAATTCAACACTACGCCAAAAATCCCGCCAAAAATATGAAACAATTGTGTCAATATTCTATATCAAAACGCCTATTTTATGCTCGTAAAACGTCATTTTATGGTAACAGAGATTTTAAGCTTGCAATGTTTTTCACAACCTAAATGTGAACGGAAATACTTAAGCGATGCATTTGTATGGGCGATTGGTCATACGTATAGGTTGGCGTTTCGATTTTATATGCAAGCTTTAAATCCCTGATACCTTTTAATGTGCTTTAAAATGTTCGAACGGTTTTCATCATTTAAAATCACCTTGGAAAGTCTATCTTTTAAATCTCGACACAAATCATTTTCACTTTGCTAATGTCTCGAACGATTGAGACGACCGATTTCCAAATAACAATGAGAGATTTTTTAATCATTTTCGAATAATTGAATTTAGATATATAGTATTGTCTGATTCCATCGTGTACCGTGCAATACAATACGTACAGATTAAAGAAACAAGTTTGATCAATTGATATGAAGAAACGCATTCGTGATCAATGACAAACACCCCCACCACAAAGGTCAAATCGAGGTCAACGTGACTTAGGGGGTGCCAAAATGTTATAAAACGAAGAATCTATTATTTTTCAAATGAAAAAAAAACTAGGTAATCGCTTTTCTAGAACTGAAATCAATGGAACGTGTAATTGAATAATCAACATTTTCAAGTTGTTTTTGTCTTTAACATTTATATTTCAAGAAGTACTACAAATAACAATTAGTGATTTAGTAAGAAAATAGATAATTGTTGACTTAACTATAATTTCGTGTCTATGATTTTGCCTAGCAACGGAATATAAATCGATGTACAGTGAAATTAGAAAAATTGGGGTAGGGGAGAATAAAAAATATACATCTAAATTTAAAGAGGTTCATCATTATAATTATATGATACCATAGTTTGCATAACCATAACATAGGAAAATCAATAAGTCTTTTGTATTCTCACTTTTCAACACTACGCACTGGCGTTTTGGCGTACATTGTTCCTACGCCACTGGTTCTCAGCAAAATATTAACACACTTTAATTACACGTGATCTGATCTGGAGGAACCGCCTAAAGAGGAGTATTCTAGATGCCCTTAAGGAGCGTCCCTTTGTTTAGCTTCTATGCCACTCTGATGCTCAGGAGACGTCATGTATAGAACACTACTACAGTAGAATTTAACTGATAAACGATTTTGATATCCAACGATTGGGTAATGTACGCTTGTTATTGTTTATTATTGGTCGGTTTAAGTAGAGCTCAATACTTTTACTTTCCGTTAGTGCACTTTTTTTGTCAATATTTCCGAACTGTACTGTAATTGTTTTTTGCAATTGCTTTAACATGCTTATTCTTTGAAATAAAAAAAATTATAAAAAAAAAAAAAAAAATATTTCCGATTTCCTTATCCGTTTAGTGCAATGACGAGAGATTGTCGCTTGTTCAGGTTATCAGGTCGCAACACCCATATACCATGAGCGTGTTTACGCTTGGCGAATTATTGGAATTCGTCATCAATTTCCGAACTATTGCACTTTTTTAAATATAGTCACGCTATGCAGTTTCAAATCATATACACACTCTCCTGGATAGTTTCACAACCGGAAGTTCGATTTTCCTTCATCGAAGTCTGTTTATATTTGGCGATTCATTCACGATGTCAGAATTATTGTAATTTAATAATAACATTATGAGATTCTTACATTGTCAGGCCTTGACATGTTCTATTCCGTAAAAACGTATGGAGGAAAGTGTACAATCAGCCCCTGTGCAATCCTCTAAAAAACAGTTGTCAAAGAGAGTGTATATTCATCTTTATTCATCTTCTACATATAAACAACCTTGTGCACAAGTAAAAACATTTTATATCTTATATGAATCGGCCGTATCATGTACTATTACCATCACAATCAAATATTTGTTGACGTCGTTCATTTTTATATATCAATCCTATCTATTCTGCTCATGAATTTTGTATTCCGAGTAATACATCAATTTTTCCAATAGTCGTTCAAGGATTCAAAATATTACTTTTCACCAAGGGGATTATTTTACACGTGTTAATGGCCTTAGTACGACTCTCCGGAGGAATTAACGACTTACTTAGAGTATATCATTACGCCGCGGTGATTAGGACCCATAAATGACATGACGTGACGTAACGTAACGGATATCTACGTAAATTGACGTTAGACGTATTAGACCATTTGCGTTATGGATATATATCGATGACTGGTGCACAGCCTCTCTTGAGCAAGCAGATCGCAGTCTTAGCTTTACTTCTATATGGAAATATATTACTCTGGTGTTTTGGAAATTCCGAGGGAGGTCTCGCGCTGGGGCTATTACGATGATGCATTTAAAAGGTACATTACAGTACGACTAACTATCACAACTTCATCAATTGCCTTGACAGTCGAGATTTTAGTCAAACATCATTATTAGATTTTTACTATCTGTTTTCGACATTTCACTGCGTTAATCACTAGAAAGTGTTAATGACTGCTCGCAAGCCACTAGGATAAAGTCGACATCATTAGGCATTGGATAATGTAACTGATCGCATAATTGCACGGTGAGAAATCTAAAACGCTGGAAAGGCGAGGTAATGCGACGGTATTGAATGCGTGAAACGATCAGCAATGGTTTTTTCTCGATCTATGCGACAATAAGGAAATAATAGGATAGCTAGGATAAACAGTTAGCAATTAGTAAAAAGCTTTAAAATGCTTACCCGATATGCCAATTAGAACAGAGAAAATAAGGTAGCTTTAGGATGTAAATTTACTGAATGTATCTGATCTTGTATTCGCGAATGCAATTTTTGGCTGTCGTCTAGTGGATTAACCTTCTATTTGATGGCCAATTCATTCAAACATAAATGAAATAGTGGCATGTACTATTCATATTGGGTTGCCCATGAAATAGCAAGTTACTTCGGTAGCCGACAGTCAAAAGTTGAATAAGTTTGATTAAAATATTTCTGTTTATGATTTCAGGAAGGTTGACACAGTATCTTTGTCAGGACCGACAAGGGGAAGCCGACAAGGGGAAGGATGTTGTCGGTAATCGGAACAGCAGAAATAGAAAGTGAAAATGTAACTGGAGCAGAACGCAACACTGCAACTAAACCAGTGATGTATAATTCAGAGGAACATTCCTGTAATAATTCTCGTACAAATTACGTTATATATTTGGATGATAATAATAATTCCGACAAAGAAAGTAGATCAACTTTAGTTGAAACCAAACCCCGATTTAAAAGTGCTGTCGAATTTGAGCCATGTTTCAAATTCACATCCAAAACAAACGAAGTACAATATTTTCGAAATTCGAAAATGAAAACGGAATTCTCAGACTATTATTCCTGGAACAAATCATCCGTGAATATCAAATTTAGCATAACACCAAAAACATACTCTACCACGCTGACAGTATTCCCAAAACCAGATAACAAGGCTCATAAAACGGAAGTGACGCACAATTTTGACAACAGAGGGAGGTGGTCCGTCAATAATGCCTGTGCTTCTGCTGAAACAGAACAGAATAAAGCATCAAGTGATTTGTTACGAAAATTAGAAACCATGTTAGATAAACACAGTTCCTCTGAACAAGATGATACAGACTCATGCGACAGCGAAGACATTGAAGTGGATGAAATACTTCGCGGAGCAGCAGACGACTTATATCAAACGTGTGACGTAATCATGGAAGAAGAGGAAAACGATGAAATGGATATAACATCTATTGATCAAACGTATCATCAAAACACGAATGAACTCCAAACACAATCATTGTGCAGGCCTAACCTGAACTCGAACGTGAATTTGAATGTGAATTCGTCAAGCTGTTTTCAACGGTACGACCAACATAGTCCTGGACGACCAACAAATCTTAATATTGGCAAAGATACCAATGCAAATTGTACCCATGTGACCTATGTGCCTCGTTTTGACATTTCGACACCTCCAGACACCTCGTTTAATCTTTTATCGACCCGTTGCAATAAGATATCTGTCATATCCACAAGTCGAAATTCTTGATATAATGTTCAGGTTAAGCCTTTCAGATTGGCTCAGTAGAAAAGGCTTGCTCCAGGATCATAAAAAATGTTCGCTCCTACAATGACATATTACACTGAACTATAAATTAAACAAGTGCCCGGAGTTCCTGATATATTCAATCTAAGCCCTCTGGATATAATGCTCGGGAGAACAAGCTTGCTATACTATAGGATATTTATTTTGTTTCTTCTTGAAATGATATAGGCCTGCACATTACAAAGTAATACAAATTAAAGGCATTCAATACAGTAGTCTGACTTATAGCAAATTGTTGTAAAGGAACAATACATGGTGAATCTTATAATTAGAAAACGTTGAAGTCCCAACATTAATACTCTTCTTTATTGGTTAAAGATTTGTGGACATGGCAAATGTTATTAGATTGTTGGAAATAGCAATATTCCTTTTGAATTGTTCGGATCATATTTACTGTCGATTCAAAAGTCTTGGGGATATTTTTCAAATCAAAAAGAGTTTCAAATCATGTTCCTATTGATTTATTACAAGAAATATAGAAATAAGTTTCATTGACTTAATGAAGTGTGAAAGTCATATGTTTTACTCATTCATAAGATGATCATGCCTTTATCATTGTTTGAAATTAAGTCTAGAATCCAAAATTAATTTGAGTAAATAGAGTTTAAATAATTAGTACAGCTTCGAATTCCGATTCAAGTGTAAAGGCAAATCAATCGTAAAGTAAAGTCAAGGTCAAAACTATCTTTGTAAACCTGATTGAAAGTGAAACGCACCTTTAATGGCTCACTGAAAGCAACCAATAAAATGGGTTGATGCGCAAGCGATATATACATACTATCAGTGAGTAAATTATCAAATGAATTGTTGTTTTATCAACGTTGATTGAAATATTTGAAAACACTAAAACTATTCCAAGGCTCATTTAATTAAAATTATTGAGTTGAATGGAATTTTTGCAGTACTCTGAGGGTCGTTTGGAAATAATCGATTAATGCGCGATAATTTTCTTGTCAGTGATGATAGTGTAAGTTGCTAGTCTGTCATTAAAAACCTCATGTTTATACAGCAGCTAGGCAGGACCCTGTCGATAATTACACGCTCTTTGTGTCGCATGGCTTTAGTTTTAACAGAAACTTCAATTTTTCTACACGTACATGGTTTCCATTGGCAGAAAGACATTATTTTGATTGGGAAATAGACACCAATCAATTTACCGAATTAATACATAATTGGATCTCACTTACACTCCCCTCCATAAGTTTGGCAACCTACATTTTTATTGGATATGATATTAAAGTCTGTTATTTTTTAACCTTCATTGTCGTTCCTTTCATTCATTTGTTCGATTTTTATGGTGCATTTTAGGCTATCGCAAAACATAAATAGGCTTTGACAAGCGATTCAACTGGGAATTAATGGCGGGGAGTGTACTTTTATACAATATTGTAATACTTAAAATTAAAAAATTAGAAGTAATCTCAAATATTTCCATTCAAGGATTTTGTGCATTCTAAGCATAATAATTCGAATTGAATTAGACTCTGAACAAGATAACTAAATTTAGCAGTTTTGAGGCTGATAAAATGCGGTAGCTGCCATGATATAAATGAGGTAGCTGCCATGATATCGTTGAATGAGTGTTCGATAACGAAATAAATGTCAGCCACTTAAGGAAACGTAACATACTTTCTTTAATTCTGAATGCATAACTATATTTTGATTGCATAATGCGATAACTCTGATTAAGCAAAGCTCGAATATCAAATTATGACCCCTCATTCCAAGAATATACAGACGAAACTATCTGTTCTATTGAAAAAGGTTTTAAAATTGATACGGATTTCAGAGATTCAACAAAGTGCACAGTATCGGCATTGTAAAAAGATGGAACTAAAACGAAAAAACTATTAATACAGGGTTTCTAACAATTAGGTTTACATTTATTCAACTATAATTTCTATATATTTGCAATCATATTAATATAGAAATTCAACTAATAAAATGTTTTAAAAGAAACCTTTTTTCCTACATGGTAACTATAAACCGAGCTATTGGTCACCCAGTGCATGCACATGTTCGACGAATTGAGTTTGTTCTGTTGTATCATGATTGCGCCGTAATTAGTTAATTTGGTTAAAAACTATTTTGATTATAGACAATACGATATGACGATGCTATAATGTTGCTTGATAATATATGTATGATCACAAATACCCAACGGCGTTGTTGGATTTTTAATATGTACATTAATATTTCGATTTTTATAGTTTATTAATTGATGTAATTACGGTCAGTATTCGCATCCCTCTAACATATGCAGTTTGATTCTAAATGGCTTTATGAAGTAAACTTTCAAAACCTTATGGAAATGAGCAATTTTTTAAACGGATAAATATTGTTTAAACGCAAGGACAGCAATTACAATTGAATCAAATGGAATGAGTGTAGCCGGAAGTCTCCAACCGGAAGTTAGAGAGGACAAGGAAAATAGTTTCGAAGCGTTTTAATTATCTATACGCTATACAGCAAATAAAATGAATTTTGCAAGTTCATTTCAAATGCACACCTTACTATATTTATGGATTACATCATTTCTACTTACATCTATACGATCAGGTAGGGTAGAACATTATTCAAGGATAAGTTTAAGGAAATCGTTTCCCTGTAATGTCTGTTCATCTTCTATATGGTCGTAGTCCTTTCGAATGTGTATGAACCAATACAAAACATATTTTCATGAATTTTCAGCACTCTGATTGAATTTCAAATACATATTTTTTGAACACTTCTTTTTGAGGTTGGTATTCAGAAGAAACCTATCCTCATTTAATTTTTCACAAGTTGTATTATCCAGAATCTTCAGCATATTTAATATTATGTTTTTCTTTTAGTTGAGCACAAGCAAAACTTACTATGGGCGCAAGAAGGTGGCGATGAGAATTCAAAAATTGTCGCCATACAAGGATCGCCATCTATTTGGGTCCCAAATAGACAGGCGGCAACTAGTCATATCACTGCGCCAAAATCCAACTGGAAATTTACCGCACTTGGAAGCAACTTTGCGCAAAGGACTATTTTCTGGGCGGACGGAGGAAATAAGAATATTCAGGGTTTACAACTTAACAGTGGTGAAACTTCTCCTTTTACAGTGTTCCACGGTACATCAGGTATGTAGCTTTTCTACTAATATGATGATTGTTTTAGCTATATAATAATAGGCCTCAGTTACATTTGCTCTACGGCGGCCGAAGAGTAAATCTACACCGAACTGCTTATCTCTATATCTTATTAAATTAAATATGTAAAGTGGCATAAATTCGCAAATGTAAAAAGGTGCTCTTACTCAAGGGGTTAAGCAAGCCATTAATCAATGTCGGGACTGCAAAACCGCCCAAGTGATGCGAACGATCTCATTGTCACTTATAGAACCACGGATAGTAGTTTAGTCGTTTAATTGGCTTAAAAATAGTTCAGGATTGTATGATAATGGCTCCTATTGATTATAATGGATTTCAATATATGATGACATGACATCGTTCCTTGGCAACAAGGTCCGTTCTTCTCCGTTCTCATTTTGGGATAAGTGCTACACAAATTGTCATTATAAATATAGGTTTTGAATAATTAATTTCATACACAAGCTAAGCTCATATTTGGAATCGAGGTACCGCACAAATTCTCACTACAAAGGAACATTTTGAATAATTCATTTTATACACATCGACTACTGTAGTTGATATTCAGTAATAGAGATGTATGCATTTTATCGCTATTCTATTGTGTGCACCCATTAAGTTGGAACAGGTAGTGACATACTATTTTAATGTATCTCAGGTATTGCGTTACGTTATTATAATGCCTAGCTTTGGCAGGTACGATCGACACAACTGATTAAAATCAGCTAGGTTCACTAGAATAACGAGGTTTGTTAATGACTGTTAAAATCACTACTGTTAGGAAGAACGTGTACGTGAAACGTGTGATATTCCGGTAATGGTTACCATTTTTATTATTTCGGAAAAAATTGAACAATTCCCCTCATTTTCGCACTTTGAAATTTTAATTACTTCACCATGCAAGTTATAGCATACCATGAATCTTTTTGGAGATATTGTATTTGACATTGTAAAGAATGAATTGCTCGGTCAGTTGTATGTGTTGCTTGCAATTTTGTCACACCTCCCCCTAGAGATCTGATTCTGCCTTTAATCTCTCTATTTTAACTCGATACTTCAATAGCACATGAGTGGACCAGCTTAAAATGATGTAACACTTGAGATTCAAAATATATTACCATTGCATTCCCTGGTCTCAGTCTATAATCACTTCTGAGTTTTATTCCATCTATTGAAAAATCTTTAAACGAATTCTGTGATGCACATTTCAATATCAATATTAGTCCATTTGTCACTTTCTTAACGTATGAATATATATATATCGAAATAATAGCAGTTAAAGCATGGGTGTCGAAATCCATCACTCTACTATACCTTGCATTTGGAGTTCATGAGCAACCCATGGCTTATTAGTAATGATCATGTGATTTGTTTTCATGCGTCTGTTGCTTATGAATGGTTTATTGGATGACTGTTAGATGTTAATAATGTACTTTCAAAAATATACTAAACAATACAATAAGACAACAGAGTATCTTAATATGCATTTCTAGAGATTAGATATAGTAGGGAGTCAGTGGGTACAGAACAACCAAAGATAACATTATTACCTTCAATCTTGTTTGACCGTACCCAGCAGTGAAGGGAAAAAGGTGAATCCCCGTAATTTAGTTATTTGTGCATTATTGTTTCTCTATGGATTTTCCTATTCACAGGTAAAGTGAATGGTCTGACAGTCGATTGGTTGACAAATCTCGTGTATTGGACAGACGCCATCTATAACTGGATAGCGTTATCAACGGCTGGGAAGTCCCAAGGTCATTTCAAAATTATTATCAAAACGGGACTCGACATCCCTGCTGCAATAGTGGTCCATCCAAGTAAGGGGTAAGCTCTTATATGTCTCACTACAAACACTCTGACTATATTTGTGCACTCCATAGTTTATTCGAGGAATAATTAGTTTAACCCCTGTGATTTCATTACTTGGGAGCTAATGCTCGTAGTTATGCAACAGTGTAATTCCATTGATATGCAATTCGTCCGACAATTTCAAAATCGGACTTCATATTTAAATTGCCTTCTTCAATTATTAAGAAATTCCGAAACGTTTTCTCAGTGTTATACGAAAACACTATTACAGTTCCATTATGTATTATTTGAATTGGAACCCGGGTAAAAATATTTGTCAATATCAAAATATGTATTTTCAGAATGCTTTTCTGGAGTGATATTGGATCGAATCCAAAAATCGAGAGAGCAACACTATCCGGAGAAAATCGCACACTTTTAGTACAAAAAGAGTTGACATTCCCAACTGGCCTTAGCCTCGATTTCGATAAGAATCGTCTGTATTGGTCAGATGGAGGTCAGGGCAGAATCGAAAGCGTTGATCTGAATGGTGGAGACAGACGGGTTGTATATGAACGTCAAGGAGCAAATTATTTTGGCGTTGCTGTTACGCAGGTATATAAATCGATAAAACAAAAATATGTGTTTGCCTAAATCTAAAATGCCCCAACATATCTGGAAGCTAAATGTTCTTAGATTCTAAAATTACATTTTATGTCATAAACATAAGGCTAAAATCATCTCTAAGTTCAAAATACGTTGATTTTAGTTACATTAAGACAATTTGGGCTTAGGAAAGTCTGAAGTTCAGTATTTTATGAGTACTCATTAATCAGCATTTTATTTAATGATATTTGACATATACGAGTATTCAAAACGGCTTTCCCAAAACGATACCAAAAATTTAATCATTATGAATTACGATTTTAAATTATGATATAAAGTTTTGTTTTATTATAGGATTATATTTTTGCAACAGAACGGAACGAGAAACAGTTAAAGGTTATAAACAAGAACACATCGTTGAATGAGTTGAACTTTAACCTACCCGAGCTGCCGAATAGTGTCATCGTATATGATAACATTTCACAGGATGTCACAACGAGTAAGTATGACACAAACAAGTACACAAGCACTCATGTTCACGCATTCTATGATGTAAATCTGTTCCGCATTCGAATCCGTAGAAATTCTAGACTATAATTTAAGAGTGACATCTATACAAAACAATCAGTATACCTCATTATTTCCCGTCGTTTACTTTCACAATTGGCAAATGAGAGACGAAAAATTATTTTAAAACAAAAGAAAACAGATTTGTCTTGTGAAAACGTTTTCTCACCAATCAGAAAAGTTTACCTAAACCCCCTTATATGGTTACCTTATGGTTGTGTTAAGATAATTGGAAATTCGTATTTTTTAATTTTAAAACACGATCATCAAATCCATCTTTCTATGAAAGTAGTATATACATTTATTTTAAGCATTTAGGAAACTGGGAATTATTTTATATTGCACGTTCAATACATACACCCCTTTAAAACGGATAATCCCTTCTAATCCGAAAATGTAAACACTTTGGCCAAAGTAGCTCTTTTGGCAAGTCCCTTTAATATGGAAATAGTATATACATTATACAATTATTCTAGGTCTATGTTCGAACTCAAGCTGTGACCATTTCTGTGTGATGACCCCTGAAGGTGAATCTCAATGTCTTTGCTCAGATGGGTTCATACTCATGGACGATGGAACAACATGTAAAGGTGTGCTGTTTTCTACGTTATTTATATATATATATTTTTCTTGACCTCAGATAGCTGGGTATATTGTAAAAGGTCGCAATGATTTTCAAAACATCTACCAAAATATATTACCATTTGTTTGTCGAGTATTTGAATCGAATGCACATCTTGGATTTATTTAAATATTTTGAGATGTGCATGTTTTGTGTAGTATGTTAATTGCGAATTAAGTAATTTAATAGTTTATCTAATACGTTTTGATTGTTCATAACTGATCAAACGCTTTTCATGATAAAATACGCTCCCATCTGTCAAAAAATGTTTACCACTAATGTTAACATATAATGCGCCATCTATTACTGCAGGTCGCGGTTACCATGGCATCCCACAATACATATACTCAATCGGGTCCGCCATTTGCCGCTTTCCCGCAAATCTGCCCGACATCAGCATGGCGAACATTAGCTTGAGTAAACAGTGCTTCTTGCCTAGACGCAGGAACGCTAACACACTCGGATTCAACATAAGGGAGAGGGCTGTGTATTTCACAGAGAATGACACAAGGTGAGGGTTACAGCAGTTTTACACCTATCATTTGTTTTGCGAACGGACGTGCTCATTGGATAAAGCCGGATAAAGTTTGTTTTTATTCGAATATTTATTTTGTTCTCAAGTTGCATTGGTTGGAGATATATCGCAATTGATTGATTTATAAAAATAACCATCCATGAGCAGTACGTTTTTACACTAGATTAAAGGATTTCTAGTTGCCATACATTCGGAAGTGGGTGTGTTTCTAGCACTCATTTGACAGAAAAACGCCCACACATTGTTTTTAAATCTCTAAAGAACACTTGGATAATTTGACAAATCGTAATAATTCAGTCAAAATAAGCAATTTATTTTCAACGTGAAAAATATTTCTCATAATCATTTACAATGTTCATACATATCTCGGAAACTATAAAATTAAGACAGCTCCAATTTGTTCTTAAGTTACGACGAGATTAATGCTTATAAGTTAGCGTCAATAACTCCTGATTTTGTTTTAGATCGCTGTGGAAACTTCAAATGGACGAAGACGATAATGAAAAACAACGTCCGAAGCTAGTTATAGGTGGACTTGGCCAAGTAGAGGGTACAGTTAAGATCGTAATTAAAATTTAATAACAAAAATTCTGCGAGATTTTATAATAAAATCCAAGAGACAAAATAAGCTAATAGGGAGTTTAAGCTTGCGATGTTTGACACAACCTAAACGTGAACGGAAAATATTTAAGCGATGTATTTGTATGGGCGTATAAGTTGGCGTTTCGATTTTATATGCAAGCTTAAACTCCCTAATAATGATGAGAGACACAGCACTATTTTATTGGATTTCAAATGACAATATACCAAACACATTACCCCATCGAGTTGAATTCGTCATCTTCTGCTTTTGATGAAATGTTAAACTTATTTAGGATTCATAAATGTATGTACATGTGTCTATAATTGGAATCGATTGAATACAGTTTATGGTGTTTTCTGGAATTTCTAGTTGCGTAATCTTTCATGTACAATTTCTAACTATGCTTTTGAAATAAACTTTAAAAAAACATAAACACATAATTAGCATATAACACTCCTAGGTATAGCAGTGGATTGGTTGAACAACCATATATATTGGACAGACATATTACTCCGGCAGATATTCGTATCCAATACAGACGGTTCCAGACAACATATTCTTTTCCAAAAAGACTTGGAAAAACCAAGGGGAATTGCAATTGATCCAATCGAAAAGTAAGTGATCAGATTTAATATTGTGAGTACCGTTATGTATTTATACTTTTGTGAAAATGACACGTACAATACTTTTTATGTTTTATATTTACAATATACAATAGTAAATTAATATGTAGTTTTTTGCTTACATACTGGGTGTCCAAAAATGCAGAACCTTTAAATTTTGTTTTAAATTTGTGTGTGTTCAGCTGGTTACCCTGTATGTAAATTAACAGAGTTCACAACGCAGTCTAAAATGTATGTGATACATAATAAAAAGGGTTACACGTAAAATGCAACTCTTTAACCTTTTTCACACCTCTTTACTGAATCAGACAGTGGATACTACGAACGTTAATATCTAATTTCTATTTAACTAGGTATATGTTTTGGAGTGACGTAGGGTTGTCGCCGAAAATTGAAAGGGCGAGCCTTGATGGTTCAGAGAGAAATATTCTAGTTGGGTTAACAAAGGGATCGCCTAATCACATCACACTCGATGTTCGTATGCAAAGGTAAACGTAAAGCAACTATCTTATTATCTGTTTTAAATACTTTTTAACAGTTTGGTTAAATTATTTATTTATTAATCAATGGTTTATTTGAGAAATATTTCATAATGTTATTGTTGCTTGTCCTTAACCAATAGTTATTTTATTTTTTATGTTATACCATTACGACTTACGTTATTGTTATACTTTGTTGATTTAAAAACGTTTTTGTTTCAAGTTTCTGTTTGTATGTTTCTCAACAGGTATCAAATGTCATCTCTCTCACATTAGGTAGTTATTGCCGCCAATTAGCCGCTAATGTGGAAAACTTTGACAATTAGCTGATTGTGTTTCTCTATGTTATTATTAGAAATGAATTAATAACATGAAAAAAACATAAGGTATTTGACACTTGGCTCTAATAATCATATACTTATTTTATTCACATTAGATTATATTGGACGGACTCCATCTTGGAAACTGTAACATCTACTGACTACAATGGAGAGGGCAAAAAGACAATCATATCTTTACCACAGAGTAACATTTTCGGGATAACATTGTTTCAAGTAAGTTATACGATATGAGATTATGAGTGACCTACTTTACTGGGTTTTATTCAACTATAGATTAAACTACAGCAGTTTTGAAAGAAATCTGAAAAAATCCCAACCATTGTAACAAACATGAACGTATTTTCAAGAATATGTTGACAATGTCCAAGAAATGGTTTATTCTAACGCCTATATAACGAGTTTTCTACATTTCCTCTTTGTTGAATCATACTTGTATACTACCTATTTTGTTCTGTAGGACTACATTCTATGGACTGACCAAGATTCTCAAAATGGCTTGCATATAGCATTAATAGAAGATGGCGTCAAAATACGAGGCATTTTACATCCGGGTATCGGCAAAGCATATGACGTCATAACCTATGACGAGTCAATCCAGCCTGATGGTCAGAGTAGGTACCTCTACACGTTTCAGTTCATTCCACTTTAATTCCATCGCCACGTTAAGTCTGGAGATTTTGAAGGCAAAATAAATGATTGTCTTATCTACTTATTAATTACCGCTTATTAGTTTGAAAAGTGGAAACGAACTCTGAATCTTTACTAATTGTAATTTTTTTATGATGATTAGCATCTGCAATTGACTTGCTAAATTAACCTTATCGGAGAAAATGACTATATATATAACTTTGGGTTCTTCAAATGTCATTTAAGGCCCATGTGATGGTATCAAGGCAAAATGTAAGCACTTATGTCTTCCAAATAGAAGTCCGTCTGGGTTTACCTGTGCCTGTGCTATAGGCTACACATTGCATGAGGATGGTGTCACTTGTACGTCTGGTAAGTGTCATTGAGTTAGATAGGTCTATGTAGATATTAGAGTTAGCTCCAATCCATGGGAATTAAAGGGTTAACCTTAAGAGGCTATTTGATATGTTGTTCCATCCTCCTCCTCCATATATGGTAAACGAGTTAATCGGGTCTCATGTCTAAAAAGCCAGAGTATTGTATAAGAGAGAAGAACTCCATGGAACTTTTTGTACATTCACACATATATGTTATTAGATCCAGACTTCGAAATTATTAATAAACTAGATTTCTAAATTCATATAACAGTTAGTTAATCTTTACTTTTATCCTCTTACATGCCAAGCTACAGGTACCCAATAATAGCTTGAAAAAGTGACAATTTTTATCAATTTTTCTTTTCAATTATAAACTGGCTTTGATAAGTGAACTCATGGGGGGGGTGTATCTTAATGGATATTCTTCTTGGAAGGGCCTGCGTTTATCTATCATATATTGTGCGCTCCTCCATATCAAGGTGATAATTTGACTCTAAAAGTCCAACATCAACACAGGGACAAATATTCTAGGGATCTAACTATGTGCTTGGAGTACGCTCACTATGTAAAAATATAAAGCTGCTGGCATACTATTCTAGTCAACAAGTTATTTGTAAACTTTAATTGATTTTATTCCAGATGTCGTCTATGACAATTTCATTCTTTTGACTGATACATATCACAAAGAAGTGTTCCAACTTGATTTGTCGACAAATAATGTGCAAACCATCCCCCTCTCTGGCCATGGTAATACTATTGCAGTGACGTACGATCCAAAGGATTTTAGAATTTATTGGACGGATGTGACGTCACAGGTTATAAAAAGGGCGTTTCTAAATGGTTTTCAAGAAGAGGTCATCATGCAGTTACCTTCTGGTAAGTTTATAGCGACCATCTTTCATAACATTGGTGTCATATGAAATGCGTTTCGTTCTATTTATGTTTGAATAGATGTCAGGTAAAATATAAAACATATAGATGGAATAAAGACATCGACAGTGTAGGCAGTCATGGTGTTAATATCAAGAAATGTTAAAGGTTGAATCCAAATTAAAAGTGCACTGTTATAGCAATTTGTTGGTATGTTTATGTATATAATTACGACTTACAATTTCATATACACTAACAAATGTTAAGATTTCATACTCATTAATTTTCTCGACATTAGGTTTTATAAACACTCCTGATAATAGAATACGATTGCGTGATTATTTTTTGAGTCACCCTGTATTTATGCAGTACATCTATTTTGTCATCACAGATTCAATAGCAGACGGCCTGGTGGTAGACCCTGTATCAAGACTACTTTTCTACACTGATACAGGGCAGAATATCATTGCAGTGATGTCGTTAGATGGCGCCTTTCACAAGACCTTAATCAATAGTGGCATTGATGAGCCAAGGACAATTGTCTTGGACCCTAAAGCCGGGTATGCTCTTTCAAGCACATACCTACATTAAAGTCCAATATGTTTAGTAATGTTTTATTCAAATTATACAAAACAAAGATCTTTTTACATTTGAGAGTGCCTTCTTTTGTAAAAACTCCAGGCGACTAAAAATGTTTAACAATTCACGGTTCTAAACAGGACTTCATTGGCAGGACTTCAATTTGGAGATTGGCATTTGATTTGATATCCACTCTATGTATATTGTAATATAAAATATGTAAGTTAACTATATGGCATGAAGTGCATTTTCTGATAGACCTATCAAGTAGTGCGCATGGAATTTAGAATTAATGCATTTTGTAGATACATGTATTGGACAGATTGGGGGTATTTTTCTCGTATTGAGAGAGCTGATATGAATGGGGAGAACAGAGTTGTCCTGGTAGAGGTTGGCAAGGGAAGATGGCCAAATGGACTTACTATTGACACTGAAGGTAATAAATATGTATATATGTCTGTGCAACTATTTTTGATGTTATGATTATTGGCTATAAATTTTCTCTTCAACATGTATTGTAATCACTTCAGTATGAATGAAATATCTCATGGTGTTCTGGTCCTGGATTTTGATATCGGTTATGGATTGGAGGGGGAAGGGGTCGTTTCTTTCACGTAATATCATTGATTTTGGAATATATGGGGTTGATTTTTCTTATGACAGGTTTACACTTAGAGTTTGCTTTTCTTGCTAGGCTTCATTATAGTTTTCGGTCCTCTCCTTTTGGCATTTGTGCTTAGATATGTACATAGAGAATTAAAATCGTTTTATAATTTTATAACAATGTCTATGTACAATTTATTTTAGCTGGTCAGCTATATTGGTGTGACGCAAGGACTGATAGAATAGAAACAGCAGATGTTAGAGGAAGATTCAGAAAAGTGCTTCTGCAGGAAAAACACGTGCACTACTTTGGTTTAGCTGTGAGTGAAGAGAACATTTACTTCACAGACTGGACAAGAAAGTAAGCACTTATACAATCACTTCATATATACATTTGTTTAAGCTGTAGGTAAAAAGAGCATTTATTTCACCGACTGGACAATAACGTTTGCACTAATTCAATTACCTACTTGTGCGGAAGTATAAACAAACAGTATATCCAGAGGGTCATAAGAGAAACTCATTAAAGTTAAGAATTCGTAAATAAGTTTTTGTAACCATGAGTTCAATGACGTCAGAGTAAGGTAAAGTTAATGATTTAATTCATGAAAAACATTTTCAGAAACGTCCTCAAGGCAAATAAAACAGATGGGAGTAATATACAGCTGGTTGGTCCACCAGTTTTCTCGAGACTTAATGATATTTACATCTTCAAACAATCTGCCGTAACCCAAGGTAGGAGCATATTTGCAAATGTCAAATAGATATTTCCTCAAATGTGCAGACAACAGAGATGGAATGATAAAACCTAGCGTTAAAATTATGAGTACTATACTGATACATGCCCATGACTGATATCATAGCAAACACACAATGAACAATGAATTCTCACAAAGAGATGATGAAAGCTTAGAGGTCATGTACGAAAAGTTCATAAAATTGAGAAATCCTTCATTGAAATCATGAGTCTTAATGAGATCATAGTAAGGAAACAATGAACAATAAATTCCCAACATTACAAAAGTTTTGACCGATTAATATGAACTCTTTTATAGTAATTTGTGCAAAAAAGCATTGGCTAGAATTCAACAGAGTATATCATTATAACCACTGAAATCTGCATATGGCATTAAAGCAAACCTTTTTTCATTAATACAGTTGAAAACCAGTGCAGTGTTGGAAATCAGTGTGAACAGCTTTGCTTACCCATTTCTACTGAATATAGATTCGAGTGCGCATGCGAAGACGGAACTCGATTGATGGATGACAAATTCAGCTGCAGTGCTAGACAAGGTATATGATATAAATTTATAGTAATTTTCCAAAAAGTTTGTAACTATTAATTGATATATTGCTAAACCAGATATAAAATGTATCTGTAGATATATGGTTATTTTGCATAAGATTGTAAATTATTCACTTAATTTCGTGATAATAGAACAAAGGAAATCATTTTAAACTGCGTTTTTTAAGTTGATTGTTTTCAACTAGGCCGTTGATATTACGTCAAATAAATTACTAAATACAAGATAACATTAGATGAAACATTTTATTTTATGTTTCAGAGACACGACCTACAGAAGTACCAACCATGGCACCTACAACTGTAACATCGAGTACAGAATCACCAACACTAAGCGAAACACTTGAACCACATTTAATCATAGACGTAGAGGGTTATGCCGTCACAAATATCACTATTACCACCACTCCAAATCTACAATATATAACATTACAACCAACTCAAAGCATGATTAATGAAACACTTCCAACCACTGAACGTGTCACTGAATATACTTACTCAACCAAGAGTACTTCTTTTAGTACAGAGCCTGACAAAGACATTCATCAAAGTTCACTAGGCACGCAAATCGCGTTTAAACAAACAGAATTTCCAACTACACCGAGAAGGTCAGCAAATAAGGACATTTCACCTCCTACTACAGATTCGTCAAATGTTATTATAACGACTAGCCCAGAGATAAAATCAACTTCTCGTTCATCATTTAATTCAAGCGAATTTGAAATGACGGAAAATCACAAAAATATAAAAAACTATGACGACGTATTAAATGGACGGGAAAATATTTGGAATCCTAATCAGGATAGAGAGGGTACACTTGTTTCAGTTACCACGACAACTTACTCAAACACAACTCTGGAAGAGCTCTCTAAAGATGAAGGTAAATCTATACCAAGACAGTTTCACGACATTAATTATAGAGGTGGGGTGGGGTTTGGAATTCAGCATAGTAAATTCATAAACTGCTTCACTTTAGTTGACAATAAATAATAGAGAACAGGATAGAAGATGAGAGGAAAAATTCATAGTTCGGATGTTCCTTATTCTTTAAATAGTTACAATACATGTATTTTCAAAGTTCACACCATGTCACGTCGACAAGATGTCGCTTGCCCTACCCTGTTCGTGCTCACGGCGAAAGCGATTCGATCGCTTAGTCAACGCTTTTCCATGTGCTATACGACCGATGTAATTTAGTTGTCAGCTTGTTAATTTTATTTTACATTAAAATATACCAAAATACATGTAACTATGAGACCCGGCCCCAACATAACTGTATTGAATGAACATTTAAATATAATCATGAAAATAAAAAATATTGTAAACAGTAAACAATTATCATGTGTTGACTATCATGTGTTGATCTCTTCTTTTTATATTTACAGATGGTAATCACGTTGTCGGAGGTATTATTGGAGTTGTCGCTGGTCTCATATTCTCATTGACCTTCGTATTCATTGTCATCGGCCTTATCATATATCGCAACAGGTAAATGTTGTTGTTGTTTAATAATTTATTTAAGTCTCACGCTAAAATACATATACAATAAATAATACTAAAAAATACATAGCCCAGCCGGCATTCGGCTTATGAGAGACTGAAACATTCATTTTAAAACATGAAATAATAAATAATTTAAAGTGTAAAATCAATGTCAATCAATGAAATAGTTTTTTCTGTTTAAAAACATGCTATTAACAGTTTTTGCCAATGTTCTTGTGATGTTTTCATTTGTAATAAGAGTGCAATATTTAGCCAAACTAGAGAGCGAGTCAAAATTGATAATGTGAAGTCTTGCTTTTTCAAATAAGTCAGTCCTTAGAGTTTCATGGATTGAACAGTCTACGAGAAAGTGTATCTCGTTCTCAACGACGTCACGCTCACACATACATTTACGCTCATTGACAGGGACACCAGTGTATCTACCAGTCTCCAATCTCAGTGGCAGTGTACCCGTTCTGAGTTTTGCCAGATTTGCACGTTCATATCTGTTAAGGCTAATGCGAAGATAGTGTTCAGGCTCTGTTTTGTGTACCTTGTGGAGCCGATATGTCCTTAGCTTATTTCCGTTTTCCTGGTTCATGGAGTCGTTCCATATGGAGTTGTGCCAAGTTATATGTTGTAAATCATCAGTCACGTTTAGTCTTTGGTGAGCGTGTAGTAGCCGTAGCTTTACAAAATTGATGTATAAAGTCTACATCGTACTGGTCATCCCTGTATTTTATGTTGCATATTTAATATTTTTCTCCGTTTTCAAAAGCTACGGCCACGGTACGGTTGCCTTTGATCAAACGTGACTGACGCATCAGACATTCTATTCTAAGTAATTTTAATGTTTTGTTCATTCGCCAAAATGTATGTATATTGCCTTCAAATCAATGCAATGGAATTACATTTTTGGAATTAAAGAGACTTTATTGGTATCCTGTATTTATTCTTATCGAGTAATACCCGAAATGTATGTATTGATGAATAATTTGCATATTTTATATAATCTATAACAACAATTATGTAGTTAGTTAAGTGAGGTTGAAATGCTTTTTCAGACGAATGGCTAAGAAAGCTCTTAACAAAAGACGGGAACCAACAATTGAGCTGTACGGCGGATGTAAGCTACAAGACCACACCACAGACCAGGAATTATCGGATATATACGATACTTGTAACAGTTCAATAAACCAAAGTGAGGCAGAATACGCAACAATAGGAAAATCATACAATAAACTATACGAAAGTGACACTGATGCATCTAGCGTATTTACAAATGATTTAGGCTATGCCAGGCCATATGTAAAAAATATTTACGCTGGTTTACCCGGTGATGTCAGATTAGATCAAAGATCTTTTAGTACATTTCGAGAATCAGAGACTGATACTTCAAGTATAGGAATGTCACATGAAATATCAAAGTGTTAGGGAAAATCTAAACCCGGGGAGTTATGTTTCGTTCAGTGCTGTGAGCTGCGCGCGCTTATATAAATAATTCAAAAAAGTAAAGAGCGCTTCTTTTATTTCAAAATGATCAATATATATGACTAATATTGTTGAAATGTATGTTATTTGGAAGTTTTTTCATCTAATTTAATAAATAACGATGTTTTATTGAGCTTCGAACTTCCCGTCGTCATTGGCAAATACAATCGGTTGCCGGGATATTGAGCCCAGACAGCCAATCACAGATCGGAGCACATTGAAGCGGGCTATTTCAAATTTATCTCGAACATTTGTCGAATAAAAGTTGATGCAGGATCGAATTATGTCTGAGAACAATCATCAAATTGATACCGTTAACGAATTGTCTGAAGCCCCAACATTGGTAAGTCGATAGAAATACTTGTTTTAAATAATATAACACGAAAATACCATAGGGGTTAAACTAAATGTGCTTTTAGACGACCCCCTTCCTTTAAGTAATTGATCTTTAAAATTTAAGGAAGTGCAAGGAATGTAACTTCAGATGCTCTAAAACACTTTCAATTCATGGATTTACAGTTAATAATAGGTACAACACAATCTTGAATCCCAGGTTCTAAAGCAGGTTGAAACCAGATAATTTTTCATTTTTGACAGCTTTTGACATTTTACTACATACATACACAACAGATGATGTTCAATTTAGTAACATTAGACGGCGGAGATCATTTCTAGACATTTTAAAACAATTGTTGTGTCAATTGGAAAAGATCTAGAATTGCTCAAATAAGAGCAATTTTAGTGAACAATTTTGTGACGGATTATCTCGTCAATCTGGGTTTCAAGGTTATTTCTGAGGTGACGAGAAATTTCGTCACTCTGGGTAGTCAAGAGGTTGTGTTGTACCTACCTGTTATTAACTGTTTACAAGTCTAACAAAAATTACTGGCTTTTTAGTTATTAAAAAGTACCATACACTACATTTCCTAAATATAAAACTTTTCAAAAATAAAACAAATCCATGAATGGAAAGTGTTTTACAGTAGTTATATTTTCACAATCTATATTTGAATTTGGAGGAGGGGGGGGGGGGTGTTAGACATTGTTTCTTTTCACGTTAGATCATGGTTTTGGGATACATAGGGTCTACTTTTCTTATGACAGATTTACACTTACAGTTTGCTTTTCTTGTTGGGTTTCCTTTAAGCTTTTAGTCACCCTTCCCTTTTGGCATTTGTGCTTATATATTCGTCTTATCAACAATTAATTGTTCCTGGGAGATGTTTCCCAAATACGTAATTAAGATTTCTAGTACACGACTCATGCCAAGTAAGTTGAATAACTAGAATATAATTGTATGCCTGTATACAGTTGATCATATCATCAACAAGCTGTATTAATATGATCTTGTTTAAAGGATTAAACATAATCAGCAAATTGGATATACTCAATGAATAATTTCAACACTGCTAAATAAACTAATTAGTCAAAACAATGCAAAACGAAATACCCAGATATCAATTCACCAGGAGCTTAAATAAATAGTTTCGACTTTATTTCATGGACATCTTCGAACCCTAGCAGAAAATTCATTATGAAATGTGATTTTTGAGGGTAAGTGAAATGCTATTTTGAATTCACTGTAGTAAATGGATTACTATAAATTGAATGTGAAGTATTGTATTAAAATGTCTGTCACGTTCAAAAATCTAGATTAACCATAAATCAAAATAACCAAATTTACTGAGCAAATATAGCAGAAAGTACTAAACTACTGAATTTAAGCACTGAACTATTTAACTTTACCACAGAAGTATTAATGTACGGATCTATCATGAACCTCAAATAGACAATTTGAACTAAAGAATTGCAGTACAATAGAAAATCCATTCCTTTGTTCAGCTATTTTCTATTCTAACAATTATTTTCAGTTCATTATACATTTATTTCAATTATATAACAGTAAAAAAATAGACGGGTCGCTGCCTAGCGCAATGTGCATTACAGGCTAGCATTTTGGAATGAAAATCAAATTAATTAAATTAATTGAGTTATAACAATTATGAACAGTTGAATATGCTAAAATATTATCACACCTAAATCCATTAATATAAATAACCAAAATAATGACAAATGTCCCCAGTAGTAAAATATACAAAATTATTATAATTTATTTTTAATATTTTATTTGTCAATTCAACACGTATTGCATTCATTGCATTATAAGCTCTTTATTCTTATTATTGAAAATCCAAACAATTAAAAGTTTATCTTAACATAGATGTATTTAACACATATTGAATCTAGGAGGATGGAAATTATATTTTCTATTATAGTTAACCTTGTGTTATTCTAAACATTCTTAATGTTTATTCTTGGTCCATGCTGTCAAGTTAACATTGCCACATGTTTGTGAAGTAGCGATAAAAAATAAATCTGTCAGTAAAGCAATACAACCTGGTATTATTTCCATGCCGTGATGCTCGTTCTCTCATTGGTCTAATTATACCATGTGACTAAAAATATTTAGAGGTATTCCATGTCTCCCTGCTAAAAACGTGTGGAGAGTGTATTCACTAAATACGACGTCATTTTAGTTGACTAAACTCTATAGTCGTCAAAACAACAAAAACTTCCTGATTTATTCTATACACCAAATATGCTCAACTTGTTTCAATGAAAATGAACGTTTAAAATTAATAAACTGACAGATAATGCTTATTTACCTAATGAATGGCCCAAGTTATTCTTCGGAAAAATTAATTTAATCTAATATGTTTGCCATCCACAGAATAATTTTTCTAAATAGTTTTTTCCAAATGTTTTCATTTTTTTGCGGAAACCGAGCCTTGACCAGAGCAGAACCTATTCAAGTCATCCAACCACTGTCACCAATTGTCGAAATAAGAGGTCATATCAAATGAAATATTAAAAAATCAGATTAAAGATTCTCGCAATCTTTATCCAATCAGCGTTTGCGAGTGTGTCGGCTCACGTATAAAAGGCGAATCCAACTCAAATCCATGCAGGGGTGTATGAGGTACTCGAATATGAAAGAGCTCGTGAAATCTGAATTTATATGCACATGGTCAATGTTTACACATGTTTGGAGTTATTGAAGAAAATGTGATATGGGTGTGGTTCCGGATTTGAAGTCATTGCTGGAAAATATGATTTTAATACGTGAAATTATATCTATAAATACAGCACTAAAAATAACAGTACACTATATACATGTATGATTGTGTCCAGAAATGTTTGAAACCCTTACGGAAAATTCTGTCTACATTTTGTCACCATTGCTCTTTCTTCCCGCATTCTAGTGCTGTTTGAATGGATATATTAATTAATGTATTTCTAACTAAAATATATCACTTTTTTTATAAACCAAAAACATTTAGATCATAAAAAATTATTCAATACTTGAGTGAGCACGATATGCAAGGGTTACTAAGTTGACACAGTAAATGACCACTGATATTGTGTTAGTCCATGCACACAGCGTATTCTGCTAAGGCCATAAGAAGTAGATCCTCTGTTTTGCATCCCCTTGCTTGCACGATTTTGAGTAAATCAGAAAAAACACATCCAAATAGCAATCACAAGGGTCTGAAAGTACCATCGCATTTCAGAATCAGATGAAATGGCGGATAATTTGATGTGCGTCAAAATTGACAATGTTATAATTATTTGACATACATTGTGTTTTTTCTTATTTTTTACCCTTGAATAATAGCTATATTTTTATATATTGTATAAAATGTATAGATATGTGTTTGTAATCACTGCAAATTGGGATGTCATCCTTTTTATGCCCCTAAAATGTATATATTTCTCAGCAAACAAGTTTGTGTTTTTTTCTTGAGTTTGTGTTTGTTTTCCTTGTACCCTTGCATGATTTGGATTTTACCAGGACGCAAAACAAAGAATCTACTTCTTATGGCCTAATATACATTTGTTAACACCCCCACTTTCATAGTGAAGTGACTAATTGGTTTATGTTTACGTTTTAATGTGTTTTGGGTTCCTTGTTACAGCAAGGGGGGCCAGTAAAGTAGACTAACATGTTTGCATGGCAAATTTTGATCGAATATGTGAGACACTTTAACTAAAAACTTGCCTAAACATAAATGTTTAATTTTGTTAAAAGTCCATAAGAAATACTGACGGTTTTCTGCCCACAAAGCTTGAATGCTTACCGAGATCAGAGTTTGAGAATTTGGACGATTTTGATGGGAAAGGAATGTCTACACAAAACCTATAAAACTCAATTATCCCATTAAACTCATTAACTAATTAATGTCCAAAACGCGTTCTTGTAAGTAAATGTTCACTTTAAAAAGTGTACAGTTATTCATAAAACATGGTATAGATTATGAAGGTATAGATATTTGCAAAGAATGTGAAGCAATATTGATGTTTTGGTCAGGTGTACCCAGCATCTTTAAAGTTAACTGTCTTTTTACTTTGTTTACCTGAGATTTGCTGTCTTCTATATGATGCCAAAAATTACAGAAACATATAAACATCCTAATCGTCTAGAATTTGTGTGTTGGCGTTTTTGGGTAAAAATGTGTTTTTGCAAAACATTTTTTTAAATTGATAACAAATATTTTTGAAAAAGAGTGGTATCGATATGGAGAACTTTTAGAACACACTTTTCTCTTAAACCAGTCATAATCATTGGCATCACAACGCCTCCCATCCAAATCGTTTCCCCCGAATTGTAGGTAAACAATTTTTGGGCGAAATGTTTTAACTTCCGTGGAAAGATAGGCCTGAAGGTTTTTTTATGGAAACGACTGTTTGAATTTGGATTCTATCCAAAGTGACCACCGCGTATTCCACGGAGTCGTATTTTAAACGATTCGTCCAATCCTAAGTTATTCATTTGCCTCTGTTGAAACTGATCGAGCCAGTGAATAAGCGAATGTCCAAATACTAATATTTTTGTCTCTGGAGTCCCTACCATGTCATTTATCTCTCAATAAATTGGTGAATTGACTGTACTCACCCAAGTATTATTTTGT